TCAGCCCAGAGGACGGGGCGTTCAGGGTTTCCAAACAAAGAGTTACATTTTGGCTTGTCAGACATCAGGACATTTTTCCAGTTTTCCTCAGTGCATTTTCCTTTCTGCATGGTAGTCAGTGCAGCAACTAACTGTATTCATACACATAGCCCCTCTGTTTACTCGGCAAACAGTAAACCAGCAGGTGTTGCAGTGATGGAAGCGGGTAAGAGAACTGGTTCAGATAGAATTGTGATTGTACCCGTCCTAAAAAGCCTCTGCATGTTTCTAATAAGCTCCACGATCAGAAACGTTTCAAACTAGGATCAATATTGGAGATGCTTTTGAAAAATGGAGAGAGGTTAGAACACAGAAAGGTTTACAGACCCATGCAGAGCTGGATAAACACTGAAGCTACAGTGTCCACGATATGGCAACCTGCATGGGCATTGACTCTAGAAAGTAGGGGGCGGGGGGAAACAGCTCTCTCTATGATGTTTTGAATTTGGACTGCATTACCCATTTTTAACACTGGGTGTCAGAGTTATATACTGCTCCTTTAAATATGCCTTTACATATAGAAAATATTATTAAATAAATAGCAAGATGATAAGAAACTAAATCAAAATATATAAACTCAGCAGTCATTTTTCCGTTTTTCAAGCTGCCGCTGCTTGCCATACTGTGACAGGGACCAGTCGACTTCAAATGTGAAACGGATTGTCCTGACACAAATCGTGATGCTCAATGACCACAACAGACACAACATGTTTATTAGGACAAAAAGGCTTTTTAAATTTTGTGGTTTTCATGATCAGCTCAACCACAAAGCGATACAGAAACATTATTTGATAATGAACCTTTTTTTACTACCTTGGCTTTCTCTTTTTGATTTAGGTCATATATTGACCGAATATAATCTCAGAGTTCTCCTTCAGTAACATGACTACCATGAGTGGTAACTAGGCACAACACTCATTCTATATAGGCTATAAACTTCACACTATGCAAAAGCCAGTGGACTTACTACCACTGATAGGTAGGAGGACACTGAGGAAAGAGCTGAATGCCTTTTATTTGGTGCCACTGGTTGCCAAAAGCTTAGGAAAGCAAAGCAGCAATTATCGAAAACTACTACCATCTTGGCACTGAAATGAGGCCTGGTTGCCCATTTGTTGTCCTGTTTGAGTAAAATCTTACCTTAGGCACATAACATTTCCGTTCTGACAAGTTATCAATCTGTACTATTTATGACTCTAACATGACAAGAAAAACGGTTTGTTAGTATCAGGGAAAAACGTGATCTAATGGAATTTGAGCACATGCCATGATTGAACAAAGGATGCTAAAAACTTGGAAAGGTATCAACAAACCTCACCAAGTTCCTGAGAAAAGACTTGTTAACACAAGGAGACAGCTGGCAGCAACTAAGGACGCACTCACATTAGGCAATCTGTACCGTGCCCAAGCCCATTTCACCCCCAAAGTCCAGTTTGTTTGACCAGGGTGAGTGCTCCGAGCCATGCTTAAGCATGGTTCACTTCCTTGGCCCTGGCACGCTTGGAAGTTGTGTGCTTAGTCTCGGTTCACTTCCTGCAAAAGCATGGGTACTCAACGTGAACAAGAAGTATAAACGATCCAAGCCGATACAATTATCAAGGAATCCCACAGTGTTAAGGATGAATCTGACTAAAATGACTCAAAATAAACCACAAAGTCAGTAAGGTTGCAGTCATGTTCTCTTAGTTACTGTGCTCAGGCCCGGTTAGTCCTGAAGCAACATGAGTGCAAGCCAGCAGGGGTGTGCGGAGGGGGGACAATTGTGCTTCAGCTTAGTATGGAGCACCCTCACTAACACTGAATGGGTGTTGTGCTTGACTGCTGCAAAACCACAACCAAACAATTATAAAAAGAAAATAGCTGTTGTGCATTTTAATTTATGAAAATATATTCAGGGAAGAAAATCATTTGAACTTTGGTTTTGACGAGTTGACAGTAGAATATTTATGACTCTAACATGACAAGAAAAACGATTGGTTTGTATCAGGGAAAAATGTGATTAAATGGATTTTAACCACATGCCATGATTGAACAAAGGATGCTAAAAACTTGAAAGGTCTCAACAAACCTCACCAAGTTCCTGAGAAAAGACTTAACACAAGTAGACAGCTGGCAGCAGCTATACCTCCAAAGCAAAGGTTCAGTCTACTGAAGTCCAAGGCCCTGTGGTCGGGAAACACACAGTGACATCGACCCTGTATATTAACAGAGTTGATCTTAGACCACAGGAAATACAATTGTTAAGGACCATCTGATTTACAGACCTTTGTGCTTTGTTATATACGTGTAAACAGTTCTTCCTGCTATTGCAAACGATCCCTGGCGTCCATCACTCAACAGTACTAAGCATCTCTTACCATTGGATACATGTCTTGACAGAGCAGCTTCAACCCTTATTATTGGGACAAGATAGAAGAGAAGAACTCAGAAGAAACTCACTTATGTGTAAATGTTTAGAAATGTGTAAGGGTTACTTCCTGCTTCATAGTGTTTCCAAGTCAACCTAGTGTCAACGTCCAAAAACAAAACACTATACATTTCTACCAATGTCAGAGAAAATACTTCTTGTTCTTGACAAGGTCTAGCAAGCGGACCTGGTACTGGCTGACAGGAGCCTTACCAGGATTTCTAGGCCTGTTAAAAAGATTTCACATTGGACCCCAAAAGTTATGACAAGTCTTCGTCTTCCCTGCAGCAAACTTCCCCTCTAACAGATGACAGGATAATGAAACTTTTGAAACAACAACAAAAACATTTTAACGAACTAGGAGTCTGTTTTATCCCTAAATGTGTCATGAAGTGGGACGGTAAAGGACAACTTGGCCTAGTGTGAGTGCGCACTTAGAAACACTCTAGTTTAATACATGTTGCTTTCAGTGGGGAAGAGGGTGTATTCTGTCAGGAAGATTTACATTGTACACCTGTAAGGTTTTTCAATACTGGCTTGTGAAGAAGAGAGATGAATGATGCATTTTCTCGACTCTGAGGATGAGAAGAGACTGCACATGAAAATTGATTAAACAAGATGGAAAAATGAAGAGGCTATGTCTGCACAGAAGCATAGCGTTGCTGAGAAGTAATCACCATTTTGGAGAATCTGTTGCTGTTTCTGCATAACATTACATGCAGCTAATGCTGCAGCTAACAGGAGGACGTAGGAGAAGCTGCGTTTGAATTTATGCACATAGATGTGCCTAAACATGCACAGGACACTTGGAAAACACACTAAAGAGCATATAAAACCAGAAAAAGCATAATATGACCCCTTTAACTTTTTACTATTAGCCTAAGTCTGTGAGTCTGGAAGAAGAAGGAATATGATCAGTATCAATATCTTTGTTTTTACCAGAGGACTTTTAGGATTCATACCTGGCTCAGATCTTTACCAGGGACCAGCGTTGTAAAGATTTATGCAAACTCTGTATTTAAAGCAAGAGTCTGAAACGCTGAGAAATACAGCTAAAACTTTGTGAACAACATGAATTTCTTATCGTTTGTTTTCATAAACTCTGGGTAAAAAGACGACCTATGTTTGAATGATGAAAAGATGAAATAGCACAATGAATACAGATAAAGTTACAACCCAAAGTGTTGCATTCAAATGTTTTTTAAATAATGAATAAAAGCTAAATGTCCGACTGTTAGTTATATGATTTTATAACCAAACATGAACACACAGGCCTATTGGAAGTTCTCCTTTTATCAAATTAAATACATGTATGAGACATAGGAATAAATAAAGGGCATGACACAAACACTGAGTATGTGAGGAGTTTTCAGAAACAGCTTCACACAGACTCAGAATCACAAGATCTGCTGGGACAGAGAAGGCTGTACCAGAGCGAAGGACTCATTGGTTGTGCTATTATTCTTTCATTTTTATCATTCATGCAATTAGGCTTCATATAGAATGAGTTAGATTGCATTATAGGCCTACGTAGTTGGTCAACTCCTAGTAGTTTGTTAATCTTAATTCATGTACTGTTCTTATAATCATTATTACGAAGCCCCTGAAATCCCAAAAGGTGGGCAGAAGCAGTGGTGTAGTGCAGGGTATACCCACTTGTTTTTCAGTCTCCATAGATAGAAAGAAAGATAAATATACTTTATTCACCCCCTGGGGGAAATTCAGGAGTGTCCCATAGCTCAGAAGTTAGAAAAATAGAACAAACTGTGAAAAAACAAAACAAAAAGAAGTCTCTATATTCCTTAATGCTTCTTATAATGGCATGAATCCCCAGGGTGTTAGGGAGAGAAACAAGAAAAAGGCAGACAGCTCCAGTCATGAGCTGCTACCATTGGCCTGTGTGTTAAAAAGCCTAATGGCTGCTGGGACGAAGGATCTCCTGAACCTCTCAGTCCTGCAGGGCAGTGAAATTAGGTGTCCACTGCAGCTACTTCTCTGACCTGCCATTATGTTATGGGGTGACCACCATTGTCCAATATATTATGTCTTTTCTTTTCCTCAATGAGTCCTTCCACCTGCCTAAAACTGAATCAGCCTTTTTTATCAGCATGTCAAGCCGCCTAATGTTCTTTTCAGTCCTGTTACCCACTTCTACATCTCCTCTGATTTACACCATTGTTTGATTGACAATATTTAGTATGCAGCAATTTTTTTCTCTGATGGTGAAGGGATGACTCTCACTACTCTGTCTCTAATTGGCACACAAACACAGTACACACAAACTAAATATGTAGCAGTAGTCTTACATGACACTGTTTATAAAAGAGGCTGTTTATCCTCTGCTAGTATACCCTTCACTTTTTTAGGCACCACTACACCACTAGGCACAAGATACTTCTTTTTACTTGTTGGGACTTCAGGGCCTCCGTACATTATTGCTAATAACACTACTACTATTGTTTCATTATATGTTTTGGAGGTCATTGAATTAGTAAAAAGTTTGCTTTAGCAATGGAAAGAAAGAAGTAACGACAAACGAGGTGATTGCACTTGCCTGAATCACAGGCTCCCCTCTGGATCAGAATGACCGTACTGGTCTCACCCAGCTCTGCTCTCTTATTCTCGGCTCTCAGGCGACACATGCTGGGATAAGTCCTGCCGTCACTGCCGCACACCGGGCCGGAGGTGGCGCACACGCAGGTGCCGTGGAGGCCACCGCGCTTCCCCGGGACGGAGTCACACCTCAGCCCCTCTCCACAGGACAGGTCTCCGCCGCTCCGCGTCCCGCACACATCTCCCTCCCCGGCCGCGCACACCACGCAGCAGCCGCACGCGTCTCTCACCTGTCCGTAGTGACAGGCCTGCGGAGCGGCGGGGCACTGAGAGGCATCGCACACCTGCCGGCAGGTCTGTCTTTTCCTCAGCAGACCGGCGTGGACCGCGGAGGTGAGCAGGGTGAAGACAGTCACAAACTTCATCATGACAGGAAATCAATTCACAGCAGGGCTCTCTCTCTCTTGTTTCAGTCTCTGAGGGGAAACTAGGATGTCTTGATGCCGCTGTGTATTCTGATAAAGTTCCTCCAGGTATCCTCCACTTAACTCAAATAATCTCACCATGCAGTTTTAGCCTGTAGGTCTGGCTCAGAGCCAGCAGGTTTATTTATCTTCTAGTAGCTGCATGTTGGTCCTGCGTCCCCCTCCAGACTGCTCTGTGATGTGTTTTGTGGCCTCAATGGAATGTACTCACAGACTTCACAGACACCACATTATGTGACGATAACTGGTTTTCTCTTAAGTCTGTGGTTAAGAACTGGTTTTAAACTGTAAACACTGTGGTGAGCTTCAGGTTCATAGGTGACATTAGTAACTTAAGACATTATTCATTTTCTGCAGAGAATTATTAGAGTCAAGAAAAGGGGAAATAAATAGGAGGAAGATTATTGTTATACTTTGAACAAAGTCGAACTTAAAGGCAGGGGTGGTAATTTTCTCCAGATGGACTTTTTAAGATTTTGTTTGAAATTGTCTTTAGGTCCTGACAGAGATTAATAACTCATGTGCTCTGAAAAAGGAACAAAGAAAATCTGTCATCTGTAGCAGTTGTAAGCCTGTAAAAACTTTGACCAATGTCTGCCACAAGGTACCAATCTGATGAACCAATCATCAAATCAAATCAAATCAAGTTTATTTGTATAGCACATTTAAAAACAGTTTCATCTGACCAAAGTGCTTTACAGGCAATGCATAAAAGCAAGAAAAAGAAAAAAAAAACTATACATATGCACATACATACACACACACAAATATATATATATATGCACATACATAAATACATGCAGCATACATGCATATCACAAACACATACATACCCTCATACCTACATGCACATGCACATGCATAAATACAGATACATACCTAAGCTCAATATATGGGGTCTGTTTCAACTTGTTTTAAATGCCAGGGAAGAGGTGAGTTTTGAGTTTTGATTTGAATGGATTTAACAAGTTGATTTGTCTGATGGAGGGAGGCAGTTGATTCCACAGACGGGGATCAGCCACTGAGAAGGCACGGTCACCTCTGAGTTTTCGTTGAGCTCGAGGGACTACAAGGAGCGACTGTTCAGAGGACCTCAGTGTACGTGATGGGGTGTAGGGGGTTACAAGTTCTGTTAAATACGGGGGGGCTAGACCATGCAGTGACTTAAAAACAAGTAATAGAATTTTAAAATGGACTCTAAGATATACAGGGAGCCAGTGAAGGGAGGCGAGTACAGGGGTGATGTGCTCTTGCTTGCGTGTACCTGTTAAAAATCTTGCAGCGGTGTTCTGGACGTGCCGTGAGAGGGAGGACTGCCATATAGAGGGAGTTGCAGTAGTCAAGGCGGGACGTAATAAAAGCATGAATAAGCTTTTCTGAATCTTGGAAAGATAAAAAAGGTTTTACTTTTGTTAAGGACCGTAGTTGGAAAAAGCAGCCTTTAACAACTGAGTTGATTTGTGTGTCGAATTTAAGGGTTGAATCAAAGGTTACGCCAAGATTTTTTGCATATGGTTTCACAAAAGAGGACAGTGGGCCAAGTTTTTTACAGATCAAGTTGGTGGACTCCGGGGGGCCAAATAGAAGTACCTCGGTTTTTTGTACATTTAGTTTTAAGAAGTTTAGTGCCCTCCAGTCTTTAATTTCTTTGAAGCAGTTGAGTAGTGGTTGCAGGGAGTGCGGATTAATGTTTTTGAGCGGGAGATATAATTGTGTGTCATCTGCAAAGCAGTGGAAGGATAGACCGTGCTTCCTTATAAAGGCACCCAGCGGCAGCATATATAAGGAAAATAAAAGAGGCGATAGGACTGAGCCCTGAGGTACCCCACAGGTGAGGTTGGCCAAGGGGGAGACATTATTTCTAAGGCATACTTTGAACCTTCTGTTTTCCAGGTAGGATTTGAACATATTTAGGGCTTGCCCCTGGATCCCAACCCAGTCCTTTAATCTGGTGATTAGTAGGATGTGGTCAACCGTGTCAAATGCGGCGCTAAGATCTAAAAGTATTAAAATTGCACTGTCCCCATTATTCACTGCTAAAGACAAATAATTAAGAACTTTTAAAAGAGCTGTTTCAGTGCTGTGGTTTTCTCTAAAACCAGATTGGAGTGCTTCAAATACTTGGTTATAGCTTAAGAATGGGTTGATTTGTTTGTAGATGACCTTTTCCAGGATTTTGGATAGAAATGGGAGTTTGGAGATTGGTATAAAATGTGATAAAAACCATAGCATGTTTAAAGTCAGTTGGGAAGCATCCTGTGGAGAGGCAGTTGTTCATGATGGAGAGGATGCTGGTGCCAATAGTGATAAATGTTTCTTTCAGTAGGCGAGGGGGAATACAATCGGACGGGCATGTTGTGGGCTTCAAGTGAAGGATTATTTCTCGCAGAGAGGAGAGAGATATTGGATCAAATTGATTAAAAACCTGCACAGCTGAGGGAGGGTCAGGATGTGATGCAGAAGATGGTGAAATTCCTTTTTTTATATCATTGATTTTTTTCCACAAAAATTATTTATTGCAGGTTAATGTGGAGGAGGCTTGAGACGTCTGGTCAGAGGGATTTGTCAGTAAGTTTATGGTTTTAAAAAGAACCTTGGGCCTGTTGGAGTTTTGTGATATGAGATCGGAGAAGTATGTTGTCCTTGCTGCTTTGACAGAGTCTTGGTATTGGGCAAGGCAGTTTTTTACCAATTCATACGACACTTGGAGTTTGTCTTTTTTCCATTTTCTTTCTGCTTTTCTGCAGCTTCGCCGGAGGGAGCGGGTGGTGTCATTTAGCCAGGGCTGAGATTTTGCTTTTCCTTTCCTGGTCTTAAAAGGAGCAACTGAGTTTAGGATATTTGTGCAGGTGGAATTAAATAATGACAACATTTCATCTGGATAAAGATGGTCAGAGGGAAGCTGCAGAGAGCGGATAACTTGCGATGTGGAAAAGGTGTTGCAGAAGTTGGTGATAGAGGTAGGGTTAATTGAGCGGAAGGGGTAGCTTGGAGCAAAGGGAGAAGTAGGATTGCAGGGTAAGGGGGCTTCAAATAAGATGGGGCAGTGGTCAGAAAAAGCTGCAACCACATGGGTACAGGAGTTTACTTTTACACCCAGAGTAAAAACTAGGTCCAGGGTGTGGCCGTGTTTGTGAGTTGGCCCAGACACATGTTGAACAAGGTTGTAAGACTGTGTGACATTTAGAAATTCTGTAGCAAGTCTGTTTGAGGAGTCGTCAACTTGGATGTTGAAATCACCAGCTAAAATGACTTTGTCGAAGTTAAGAACAATAAAACACATAAAGTCAGATAAGTCAGGTAGAAAAACAGGGTTTGGGCGAGGGGTGCGGTACAAAGTTACACATAGTGCTGGCTCTGGGCAGCAAATTACAAACAGAAGTGTCTCAAATGATGACACAGGCTTAAAAGCAATTTGGCAACATTTAAATGTATTTCTAAAAGCGACAACGAGGCCCCCACCTTGGCCTGTGGTTCTTGGGGTGCTAAAGTAGTCATAGGTTGGAGGACATAGTTCCAGTAGCTGAGACTGGTCGCCAGGTTTCAGCCAGGCCTCAATAAGGAGGAGAAAGTCCAACTGAGCAGTAGAGATATAGTCATTCAGGATGAAGGTCTTGTTTGAGAGGGATCTCGCATTAAGCAGTGCCAACTTAATAAGAGTATCTGGGATGGTAGAGGTGATTAGGGGGGCATAGTCAACTGGCTTTAGGTTCCAGAGGTTTGCTGTTTTGAGGGCTGAGCTAGTGTTTTTCTTCCTTTGTGTTAAAATCATGGGGATATTACAGGGATGGTTAGTGGATGCAGTTGAGGCTGTGGTCCAGCAGGGGGAGCCTGTTCTTTCCAGAGATGGTGGGAGACTTTTATTGGGATCAAAAGTTTCCGTCGCATAGCCTGAATGTGTTTGTGTTGGCAAGTTGGCAAGTTCAATCATGAACTTCCCTGTGTTATGATAATTCTTTAGGAGGATTCACTTCAGTGTCTTTAGCGGTAGGCATGGTTGGTAGGAGGAGAAGCAGGGTCAGTACTGATGACACACCTGAGGGGGGTGTGGTGGCTCTGTCTCTGTAAGCTTCATTAGCAGCACCTGCGGAGGAGCTGGCGGAAGTTGTCTTCGAGTCGAAGAGACACCACGAGGACGCAGACACCTGAGAGACTAAATCTGAAGTAACGTTTCAACACTTCACGGGTTCTTTTTACACATGAACTAAACTGATATGAAGGAGAGGGTTGGCGGAGTAGATTGTACCCCAAGTGGCTACGTGGATTGGGCTGTCTGAGTGAGCTGGTCGCGGCATGTACGAGGATCTTTGGGGTGAATCACCTACACGCACCCCTCAAACAGACTGGACAGTAGCACACACATTCAGGTAAGGCAGGATATACCTTCACGTTTACGCAACACGTAAGGAGAGGCATTAAGGAGAGGCACGTAAGGAGAGGCATTAAGTTACGGGCTCACTGGCCTTAGCGTAGGTGCTAGGATAGCATTTAGCTGTGGGGTTGTGTGTTAGCTCGTTCTCTACCCCATGCATGTACTAGCCCACAGCTAGTGGGCTGAGCGCCCTGGAGAAACAGCACTCATGCATGTAAGTGAGGGGGCGTGGCTTTTGAGGGAGCACAGAGGGGAGGGGGTGGGTGCAGACGCAGCACTGAGGGAACGCTACTTTCAAAATCATGATGTCTTTAATATAAACTTTAACAAATAAAGCAAAGAGCAATTTTGTTTGTGTTGCATTTGAGAATACATAAAGTAAATACATGTATGAGACAGAGAACAGAGAGTGAATATTACTATGAATGATATCCCACAAAAAGCTATCATACTTTTGTGAAACTACGGAAGCCTTAAGTGGACATGCATCAATAGATTTAATTTGACTCAGTTCTTTCATCATAACTGATACTAGAGCTGGCCACACACTGGACGATTTTCAAATCTTGACTGATTTGAAAAACATGTGAGACCACAGACTTGAGGACAGTTTTAATTGATTTTTAACATTAAAATCTTTAAACGCACACACTAGATGACTCGGCCAGACCGGGAGACCAAACACTTGCAGTTTGTCGGAACAATT